CGTGTAAGAGCCATGCGTGCAGCCCGTTCACTCGGAGAACGAACTGTAACGGAACTGATATTACAGCACCAGAACCCTCAGCAGCTGTCTGCCAACTTATGGGCTGCTGTCAGGGCTCGAGGATGCCAGTTTCTAGGGCCAGGTAAGATAGATCACTATCTTGCCTTTCTTACTGGTTATCAGGACTAGAGGATGCCAATTTCTAAAGGTAGGTGAGAATCCCCAGACTCAACCCAACTTTATTCATACAAAGCTTGATACAATTGCAGATAAGCAAGCCAATTTTTGTTGATCATAATCTGTATGATAAGTGCTATAATGTTTTAGAACAAATTTCTCATTTAATCTTCAATGTCCTTCAAAAGAGGTGACACAGATCCAATTTTATAATTAGAAAACTGAGTTAAGATTACACAGGTGGTAAGTAAAGGAAAAGTAAATTTTTTTAAACTTTTAATTTTGAAATAATTTCAAATTTAACGAAAAGTTGCAAGAATAATGCAAAGGCCCTGGCCAGGTAGCTCAGTTAATTAGAGCCTTATCCCAATATGCCAAGGTTGCAGGTCCAATTCTTGGTCAGTGCACAAATAAGAATCAACCAGTGAGTGCATAAATAAGTGGAACAACAGACGGGTGTTTCTCTCTCTCTCTTTCTCTTTTCTTTGTTAATAATCCATAAATAAAATACAGAGTAATGCAGAGAATTCCACATTGATTAGTTTTTTAATTTGCTACGTTTTATTATTCGCTCTTTCTCTTATGAACCATTTGAAATTAGGTTGAATACCCATTAACACTTAAGTGTGTTTCCTAAAAACAAGGATACTCTTGATACAATATGATGTTCTATAGGTTCTATAGTTTATATTCCAATTTTATCAGTTATTTCAAAAATGTTTTTTATGGCATTTATTTTATAAATATTTCCCTGCTGGAAAACAACATAAATTAATACCTTCTTTAGGTATTGCACCTAGAGGCTAATATCACTTTAAAATTATATACAAAACTAGTAGCCCTGCTCACAAATCCATGTGCCAGTAACTCTCTGGGGCCTGGCTACTCTGCGCCCACTGCCCAGAGGCTCTCCGTGGCCCAGAAGCCCATTCTCGCCCTAACCAGGCCCGAGCCCCATCCATGGCCGGGCCCAGAACAATCACCTTGCCCACTCTCAGGGATTTTCCCCTGGGACTGGGAGACTCTGGCGGGGCTGAGAGGACTGGACACCGCCATCTTGTGACAAATGACTGTTAATTTGCATATTACCCTTTTATTAGATAGGCTAGTTCTGACAGGCAGAGTAACAATTTCATGATTAAAAAATTACCATTTATCATAAGACTATTGTGTGTCTTTCACATGTTATTTGTCAGAGTAGCTGTGTGTGTTTTATAAATGAGGATTTTTTTTCTCACTTTAACATTATCATCTAGTTGATTGTTAAATATCTACAGAATTTATATGTTAAGTTCTCTTGACTGTTGTTCTGATTGGTTGTTTAATAGGAAGGATGCTTTCTTTTGTTTGATTACAGACCCCTTATCTGTGGTTTCTTTTTCTGTAGTTTTACTTACCTAAGGTCTAAAAATATTAGATGGGAAATTCCAGAAATAAACAATTCATAAGTTTTAAATTGCACGCTGCTCTGAGTAGGGTGAAGAAATCTCATGCCATTGTGAATCATTCCTTTGTCCGGCACGTCCACACAGTATATTCTGTCCACCTATTAGCCACTTAGTAGCCATCTTGGTAATTAGTTTGTTGAGGTGTCTCACTGCTTGTGTTCAGTTAACACTTATAGTAGACTGACATTAAGTCACTTCATCTCATTGTGTAGTCATTGTATCATCTCATATCTTCATAAGAATCTTGAGTCCAGAAAGATATTTTGAGAAAGAGACAATATTCACAAAGCATTACAGTATATTATAATTGTTCTATTTTTAGTTATTGTTAATCTCTTACTGTGTGTAATTTGTAAATTAAACTTTACATAGGTATGTACGTATGTACACCAAGTTCTCGAATAACATTTTACTCAACATCGTTTTATTATAACATTGATGAGATGCTTTAGGAATTTAGTTCTTATTTGTGTAAATCAGCCTATGGTAAAATTGGTTGTATCATAGGTTGTTTTGCTTAAAGTTGCAAAACCTATTGACAATGTTAAGTGAGGACTTTACTGTTTAGGAAAAAACATACTATACAGGGTTGGCAAAGTAGGTTTACAGTTGTGTTAATAATACAGTAACTAATAAGTAAATAATAATACAAAAATAAGCTTTCCCGGCTGAGTGGCACAGTTGAGTATAGTCCTGTGCACCAAAAGGTTTCCGGTTCGATCTCAGTCGGGGCACATATGGTTTGGAAGTCAGTGGGCCGATGCTTCTCTCTTTTTCTCTCCACTCCCCCCTTTTCTTCCCCTTCTCTCCCTCTTTCCTCTCTTCCTTTCCCTTCCTCTCTCTAAGCATGTAGGTGAGGAATAAAATAAAGAAAGTCTGCTTCACATGTTCACAAATGTAAGCCTACTTTTGCCCACCTCTGTATATAGGATATGGTACTATCTACAGTTTCAGACATCCACTGGGTGTCTTAGAACATATCCTCTGTGGATTAGGGTGGACTGCTGTATTTTTTAATAAGCTATATTTGTGTATGTGTGATGTCCTATGTTTGTGGTAATTAAATACAGACTGGAAAATGAACCACTGCAAACTAATACCAAAGAAATCTGTGACAGACATGATATGCAGGGTTTCTCATTTATCATGAACTCAAATTTCTTCTAGCTATGCAAGAAGAGGCCTTAAAGCTGGTATTGCTGGCACTAGAAGATGGTTCTGCTCTCTCAAGGAAAGTTCTGGTACTTTTTGTTGTGCAAAGATTAGAACCAAGATTTCCTCAGGCATCAAAAACAAGTATTGGTCATGTTGTGCAACTACTGTATCGAGCTTCTTGTTTTAAGGTGAGTAACAAGCAACCATCTAAACATTACATGCCTGTATGTGGGACAGAGGCTTCCTGTAATGGGTATTATCCTGTTAGAGGCCCCCACAAATGCAGAATGCATATAAGAGTTGAAGAAACTGCCTGCACCGGTTTGGCTCAGTGGATAGAGCGTCTGCCTGCGGACTGAAAGGTCCCAGGTTCGATTCCCGTCAAGGGCATGTACCTTGGTTGCGGCCATATCCCCATTAGGGATGTGCAAGAGGCAGCTGGTCGATGATTCTCTCTCATCGATGTTTCTAACTCTCTATCTCTCTCTCTTCCCCTTTGTGAAAAATCAATAAATATATATTTTTAAAAAAATAAATAAATAAAAAATAAGAGTTGAAGAAACTCTTTTTTTTTCTTCTTTTTTTGAGAAGTGCAACTCTTAATTGACTTGAATTCTCTTCTTGTAGATATTTTTCTGTAAAAGAGTATCACTTTTGCTTGATTTTAGCATGGAGTCAGAACAAGGGAAGTTAATGATTCTGTTTAATGCAGAGATTTCTGATTTGTTATATCTCTTGTAGGACTTGAACATTCATACATACTTTAAATCGTGTGATCTTTAAGCCAAGGGTTCTGATTCAGTAGATCTGAAATTATAGTTTTCAAAACTTCATGGGTGATTTTGATGCACATTAATAGAACTTGAGCCCTAATCGGTTTGGCTCAGTGGATAGAGCGTCGGCCTGTGGACTCAAGGGTCCCGGGTTTGATTCCGGTCAAGGACATGTACCTTGGTTGCAGGCACATCCCTAGTAGGGGGTATGCAGGAGGCAGCTGATCGATGTTTCTAATTCTCTCTTCCTTTCTGTAAGAAATCAATAAAATATGTATTTTTAAAAATATATTTTATTGATTTTTTGCAGAGAGGAAGAGAGAGGGATAGAGAGTTAAAAACATCGATGAGAAAGAATCATGGATCAGCTGCCTCTTGCACACCCGCTACTGGGGATATGCCCGCAACCAAGGTACATGCCCTTGACCAGAATCAAACCTGGGACCTTTCAGTCCGCAGGCTGACGCTCTATCCACTGAGCCAAACCGGTTTCAGCTAAAATATGTATTTTTTTTTAAATAGAACTTAAATAGGACCAGGTTCTCTTAATCACCTGCGTCCATCTTTACTACTCAAGTAGATAGATGCATATGCTTCCCAGGAGATACCCTGTAGCATAGATGGTGGTTAGAGGTGCTAACATCCTCTGGTATTTTTGGGTTTCTTTTTTCCTATTTTTTAGATTGATAATTTCTCCTTTTGTTTCCTCAGTGTTTCTTAAAGGAAGGTTATGACAGCATATAGATTTTTGTGACTTCTAAGTTATACTCTGCTCCTTCTTAAATTATACCTGATTAGAATTTTGGGTGTCCCAAACTTTTCTTTCTTGTACTGTTTTTGTGTGATATCTGATATATAGTAGATCTCCCCCATTCTACATTCTCCTCCCCCCCTCCCAAAAGAAGGTTTACTTGTGGAAGGAAGGAAAGCAGAACAGTTCTGACGGGTTGAGTGTATTTCTCCTTTCTATCGTTTAGGTTACTAAAAGGGATGAAGACTCTTCTCTGATGCAATTAAAAGAAGAATTTCGGAGCTATGAGGCATTACGCAGAGAACATGATGCCCAAATTGTTCATATTGCTATGGAAGCAGGACTCCGTATTTCACCCGAGCAGTGGTCCTCACTTCTATATGGTGACTTAGCGCATAAATCACACATGCAGTCTATTATTGATAAGGTTCGTGAAATTAGAGATCCTAATCTATATTGTTACATTGGAGAATACTGGAATCTTCTGCAAGGACTGAAGAGACAATCAGTTGAAGATTCTATGTTTTTAAAAATCAGTCTTATAAAATCTTTTTTCTCCCTTTTAAATATTATTTTTTTAACTTTCAAAATAAACGAATGGGAGGCAGTAGGGAAGCAAGTACAGGATAAAAGCAGGTTGGCTTAAAAAGTTTGTCATTCATCTACATTCCAACTCCAGAGAGCTAATACAGCTTATAATGAGTTTTCTGAGTGTCTAATGATGAATTTCATAGGGCAGATTCTGAGGTGAAAAATCGAATTCACCATTGATTCATGTACTATGGAGTCTGAAGACACTTGAAAACCTATTTAGTATATTGACTTAATGAAAGCACTTGAAAATAGATGTAAGAACCAGACTAAAAACCATTCTGTCTTCTGTTTTGTTAGCTGCAATCTCCAGAATCATTTGCAAAGAGTGTCCAGGAATTGACAATTGTTTTGCAACGAACAGGTGATCCAGCTAACTTAAATAGACTGAGGCCTCATTTAGAGCTTCTTGCAAACATAGACCCCAATCCAGGTATGTTGGGAAATATTCAATCGCTTATGTTTTTTATAATAACAGAAGATAATTTATGCTAACAAATTCTCTCCTCCATCTCATCTCCTTGGTGGCTTATTTTAGATGCTGTTTCACCAACTTGGGAGCAGCTAGAAAATGCAATGGTAGCTGTTAAAACAGTAGTTCATGGCCTTGTGGACTTCATACAGAATTATAGTAGAAAAGGCCATGAGACACCTCAGGTAAGCACATTTATTGTACTTGTACCGTTAGCTGTAACAGAGGTTCATTCTGAACATTTAACAAGCTATTTGGCTAATGGACTCTTTATATGGCTCTTCTCTGTTACAAGTTTTTAGTGTCTATACTTTTGGGAGAAACTCAAGTTGAAGTATACCTCATAAATAATTCACAGCACAGCAATAGTTTGTATAGTATCTTGAATATGAATTTACTGCAGATGTCTTTTTACCAAATATAGATTATTGATTCCTTCCATACATTTTATCTGATTCTTTTCTAATGTGGAAAAATTGTCACTTTTTTCTTCATTGCTGTCAGACAATGAATTTCTATTTGTAAATATCTGGAAATTAAGTTTTTAAAATATTTTCAGCCCTGGCCTGTGTGGCTCAGTTGGTTGCAAGTCATCCAGTGTACCAAAAGTTGCTGGTTCAATTCCCAGTTAGGGCACATACCCGGGTTGCAGGCTCCCTCCACCGTTGGGGTCATAAGGATGTTGGTTGTTTTTTTCCCTGTCCCTCTCCCTTCGCGCTCTCTAAAAACATAAAAATATTTTTTAAAACATTTTCAGTGTTCTTTAGAATGAGTTATTTAAGATATAACTCCTTTATTCTAATAACATCTATTTATTATTTGTTTACTTTTGTTGTTAATCCTCAATTGAGGATATTTTTGCCACTGATTTTTTTATTTTTTTGAGGGAGAGTGGGAGGGTAGAAAAAAGGGGAGGGAGTTAAAAAGAAAGGGAAACGTGAAAGAGACATCAATTGGTTGCCTCCTGCATGGGCCATGACTGGGGTTGGGGGTTTTACCTGCAACCCAGGTACATGTCCTTAACCAGGAATCAAGCCCCTTACCCTTCGGTGCATGGGTGATGCACTAACCACTAAGAATACCAGCCAGGGTGACATTTATTAAGTTACTGTGAGCCAGTTCCTATGTTCAATATTTTACATTTTTTATTTCTGATTCTCACAGTCACTTGCAAGATAATTGCTATTGCCAAGTTGAAGCTTAAAATGGTTAAATAGCATATCTAAAGTCATGGTGACAGTAAGTGACATAGATGGGATCAAATCTACTCCAAAGTGATCTTTCCAATCTTAAATCCTTATTCCGTTAGAAGATGGGGATATATTAAAATACCAATTGAAAGATAAATGTTTCATCTTTATTAAGCTACAGAAATAACAAGGACATTTTAGATTTTAATGCAAATCATAGTAGGTCTGATGAGGTTTTTATATTTTGCCTCATTATATGAACTTAACTCTGAGCCTAAAAGAAAGTTGTACTCTCAACTTGACAAAGAAGTAGGTATTTCTTAATTTTCACTTTCAGGGAAAATCATATTCTTTGTAACCTGGGAAAGCTTAAGTGAACAAGCTTATGGCCTTTAAATGCTTTTTGAAAGTTTTTGTTTGGTGTTGGTATCATAATTTTAACACAGCAGTGAATTGGTGAGGAAATCTTGTATTTTCATGGGCTTTGTGTTGACTGAAAAATAAGTAGACATAACATTTGAACCAGTTTCAGATAATCTCCAGAGGGAATGTCTAAAATGCCAACTCAGGGTTGTGCCACATAACTCTTAACAGGAAACAATGGAGTGCTAATTGTTTCAGCACAAGAATTACTTATAGCTAATGTGAAAAAGAATTGAAGATGTAGTCATGAAATTTTGAAGTCCCAAGAGTGAATAACACCTGGAATTTTCACTTTTCCGCACACTGATTCTTTTTGTAGCCTCAGCCAAACAGCAAATATAAGACTAGCATGTGCCGAGATCTAAGACAGCAAGGAGGGTGTCCTCGAGGAACAAACTGTACTTTTGCCCATTCTCAGGAAGAGCTTGAAAAGTAAGTTATGAAAAGTCTCTTGCATAAGGGTTTAATTTGGGGCCATTATGAAAATGTTATATACAATCTGAAAGTTTGTGATGAGTTTTCAAGATGCAATTAACTACTTTGTTGCTTCTGGAAGCAAGATGAACTTAAGTTATCTAGCTGAAATACTTGTTTCTGCTAAGCACCGGTGTAGAATGAAAATACCCCTATGTGCAATCTTATTTGCTCAGGTTCACTTGAAGATAACAGCAAAGGCTCAGGTAAATGGTAATGCAGATTTTCTTTTTATAACTTTTGGTCTTATTTTAACATTCTTTTTATGTATCTTCTTTTCTTTTTCTCTTCTCCTATGGGTAATTCCTTTTTCTATGTCCATTTACCCCAAACATAAAAGTAAATGGGTAAAATCTATTTATTTCATTATTCAAAAATATATTTTTATTGCTTTCAGAGAGGAGGGGGCGCGCGCGCGAGAGAGAGAGAGAGAGAGAGAGAAACATCGTTGATGAGAGAGAATCATTGATCAGCTGCCTCCTGCACACTCCCTACTGGGGATTGAGCCTGCAATCCGTGCATGTGCCCTTGACTGGAATCAAACCTGGGACCTTTCAGTCTGCAGACCAATACTCTATCCACTGAGCCAAACCGGTTTTGGCTGTCCTACTTTTCTGATAATCATTTCATAAACTAATCTGTTTATTTAAAAATGAGTTTTAGTTTTTTTATTTCTTTTTTGTTCTTGTTAATCCTCACCTGAGGATATTTTTTCATTGATCTTTAAGGAGAATGGAAGAAAGCGGGAGAGACATAGAGAAACATAGATGTGATAGAGACATATCGATTGGTTGCCTCCTGCACATGCCCCAGCCAAGGTCTGGCCAGAGAGAAGCCTGCAACCAAGGTATGTGCCCTTGACCGGAATCGAACCCGGATACCCTTTGGTCCGCAAATCGACATTATATCTGCTGAGCCAAACCGGATAGTGCAGTGTTTTTATTTTATTATTATTATTATTTTTTTAATATATTTTATTGATTTTTTACAGAGAGGAAGGGAAAGAAATAGAGAGCTAGAAACGTTAATGAGAGAGAAACATCGACTAGCTGCCTCTTGCACATCCCCTGCTGGGATGTGCCCGCAACCAACGTACATGCCCCTGACCGGAATCGAACCTGGGACCTTTCAGTCCGCAGACTGATGCTCTACCACTGAGCCAAACTGGTTTCGGCTGTTTTTATTTCTTTAAAATTATATAATTAACAAATTTTTAACAACAGAATTTTTTCAGTTCTTGTAAACCTTTCTCTTTATATTCCCAACTAAAGTTTATATGGTTTCTTTCATTTTTATTTAGTGTACTTTATATTTCAGTTAGACAAAATTTTTAAAAGGATCTCTTCCCACTCCCTCAGAAGCCTTCTTTGGATGCATGTATATTTTGCTAGCTAGTAAATATGTGCCTATATGTACAGGTGTCTGTGTGTAGGTGAATAGCATATGTATTTTCATGTGGCATCTATTAAAGCAGAGTTTGATATAGACCATATAGGGTATTTACTGAAGAAACTTTTTCAGAACTGTCTCCTCCTTTTAAAATCTTTTCCCATTGTCTTTTTTAAGATATAGTGAAATATTCATCAATACATTGATTGTTTTTAAAACAGGTATCGATTAAGGAACAAAAAGATCAATGCAACTGTAAGAACATTTCCTCTTCTAAATAAAGTTGGTGTAAACAACACTGTCACAACCACAGCCGGAAATGTCATTTCTGTCATAGGAAGTACTGAAGCAACGGGGAAAATTGTTCCAAGTACAAATGGAATTTCCAATGCAGAAAACAGTGTTTCCCAGCTAATCCCACGTAATGCTGACAGTACATTAAGAGCTCTGGAGACTGTGAAGAAAGTGGGAAAGGTTGGCACTAATGGTCAGAATGCTGCTGGGTCTTCTTCAGAGTCAGTAACTGAAAAGTAAGTAGTAGGTAAAAATGCTTAATATGAGTTACTTAGACTTTTTAGAAATGCCTGAGTATTCTTATTTTTCCCGAGGAAAAGCAGTAGAATTTTTTTTTTAATATGTTTTATTAATTTTTTACAGAGAGGAAGGGGGAGAGAGAGAGAGTTAAAAACATTGATGAGAGAGAAACATCCATCAGCTGCCTCCTGCACACCCCCTCCTGGGGATGTGCCCGCAACCAAGGTACATGCCCTTGACCAGAATCGAACCCAGGACTTTTCAGTCCGCAGGCCAATGCTCTATCCACTGAGCCAAACCAGTTTTGGCAGTTAGTGGAATTTTAATGTAGAAACGGTACTAAATTCCAAAAAAATTGGAGTTCTAGTCCTGGCTCTGTAACTAAATAGCTTTGTGACCTTGGGAAGTCACTTTAACTTGCTTTTGTTTCCCTTAATCGTAAACTAAGAGGTTGGACGAGATTTGTTTTTTCACACCTTCTTTCCTTAAACTTTAGGGTTGAGTCCATAGAGGTGCCAGAAAGGAATTAAGTAGAAACCTAAGCAGGTGAGAGGCTTGAGCCTCCAGCTCCTGCTTTAACGAGAACACCTCTACTCTATATTCTGTAATGGTGTGTAGAAATTAAGAGGGAAATCTTTGGAGCCAAACTCTCTGGGTTCAAATTCTGGCTGTTTCCTAGCCAATTAATCTGTTTTCCTCAGTTTACTCATCCATAGTGTTAGTATAATAATAGTT